GCTGAGCTGCCAACAGGTGGCAGGATGGCTCAGCTGGTGAGAACACGTGCTCCTAACAACAAGGTGCCAGTTCCAGATGGTGGGCTACGTCCGCCCGCAACTGAAGACTGAACTCGGCACCGTGAGCTGAGTTGCTGCCAGGGTGGCTCAGTGGATAAAGCGTGCTCTCTTAACTACAAGACTGCTGGTTCGACTCCCACATGGGATGGTGGCTACGCCCACCCGCAACTGATTGAACACAGCACCTTGAGCTAAGTGGCACGACTGGACTTGGAGCTGAGCTAGCTGCACCCTCCACAACTAAGATTGAAGGACAACAACTTGGCTGTTCCCCTTCCCCAGTTCCCCAACACTGTTCCCCTTCCCCAGTTCCCCAACACTATTCCCCTTCCCCAATTCCCCAATTAAAAAAAAATCGAATCAAAATATTGAAGCTAGAAATGACTGTAGAGGTTATCTGATACTGTGGGGTTTTTTATACCTATTTTTAAGCCATAGACCTCTGCTCTTTGTTTAAATGAAATCTTATATATAAAGCCCAATGTAATCTGATTGCAAAGTGGGGGGATAAACAGCTGCTCCTTCTGAAGGGGGTGGGGAGTGGTAAGGACCTCAAGTCCCCTCTAACCCAAAGCTCATCCTCCAGCCTCCATCCCCTGTAAGTTCAAAACACTCCCCCACCCTCCAAACCCCCCACTCAAACGTATGTGACCGAAGAGGCATTGCCAAATTCACATACCTGGATCGTAGCCCAACTGGGACTAGAATCTAAGTTGCTTGCCTTTGTCCCAGGTTCTTTCTACCACACTCTACTAGTCTATCAAACCAGAATCTTTAATTTTTTCAGGAGAAAATATATGAGGATTCAAAGGTTCTTAAAATTGTTAGTATGTTTGTTTGTTTGTCTTAATAAAACTAAATGAGAGCATCTGGGGACATTTCCACGTAAGATACTTTTCCAAGCTGTGCTCTGTGGGGCTGCCTCTGGGTGGCACTGAGCTTCCAGGTTCCAGGGGCTTTAAATGCCTGCTTCACTTTTATTTGTTGTACATAATCGTCTTAGAATTAGATTTCACTTGAGCTAAGGATTCCTTGGCTAAGATAGCAAAATAGTGGTTAGGAAACCACTGCAAATAACCTAAAGGTTAAAAAAAAAATTAATGCAGAATAGAAGATACAAGAATAAAAGCTTAAGTCATTTAGTTCATAAATAGGTTGACCTAAAAATTGAATTCAACAGGGCTGGCCAAGTGGCGCGTTGGTTAAGAGTTTGCTTGAGATGCCAGCTCTGAGCAGCAGGGCCCCGGTTTGGATCCCACATGAGGGCCAGTGACACTGTGCCCTCTACAACTAAGATGGTGAACAACAGCTCAACCTGGAGCTGGGCTGCCGTGAGTCGCCAGTGACGGCGTAGGCTGCAGCAGGCTGCCATAAGCTACCATGAGTGGCTGGCAGCCGGCGTGAGCTGCCAAGAGCCTCCGTGAGCAGCTGTCCAGTGACCGGTGACCGACTGCCTCAGCTAGAAAGAGCGGAATGATAATACCAACATGGGCCAGTGAAGCCACATCCTCCTCAACTAGACTGAAGAACAAAAGGACAGCAACTTGTGTGTTCCTCTTCCCCGATTCCCCAACGCTGTTCCCTCCCCCAATTCCCCAATAAAATCTTGAAAAAAAAAATTTCAACAATATATATGTCAGAGTCCTATTATCACCAAGAAACATGTTAAAATAGATAACGAGAGTGAGCAATAACTCACTCTGCCTTCATTGAACACACCAAAATATGGCTGTAATCTAGAAGGAGAAAAGATTTAAATTCTTGAAGCATATAGAAAGATCTCAAGTCCTGCCAAACTTCCCCTGGTCTTCTGAGACATGAGAAGGTGTGAATATAGGTAACTTGTAGGTTGGGTATTTACATAAGAGTGTCTCAGAGTATGTTATGTTATTTGGGAAAAGTTTGTGGTCCAGAACATTTTGAAAAGTTTAACGGTTTCTATGTTGCATTGCTTAGAAGGGCACCAAAAGTTTTTTTGGGATATTGATTTTTATACTGGTTATTAAGAAAAGTCTCAGAAAGAACCTTTGACCCTCCCTGCTTTCCTGCATAAGTGATTTAGATGGAAAGATCTGTTTCAGGAAGGGAACCTTAACATAATCACCTTAGCATTAGACAGGAAGACTCCAAGCAGGAGCCTGTTGATTTAATCTGCCCTCCCCATCTCTAATAAGGAAATAAGTAATTAAATACATGCTCTTGAATGGGATAACTTATTTTAGGAATGTCAAATTTTTCCAAATTAATCTATAAATTCAAATCTCTGTCAAAATTCCAGCTGTATTTTTTATAATAAACTCATTAAACTTATTCTAAAGCTTTCATGGAAGAATAAAGAAACAAATAATTAAGACAACCTTAAAAAAAAAATAGATGGAGGGCATGCCCTGCCAAATATTAAGACAGCCTATTAAGTCGAATGAGATTGGTGTAAGAATAGATAAACTACAGAAAAAGAATAGAGACCAACCCATGTTTATAAGAGAATTTAATATACAATAAAGTGCCATTATAAATAAATGGAGAAATGGCCAGACTGTCTAGTAGATGGTGTTGGGGAAACTGGCTTTTAGCATATGTAGGTTAATAAAGATTGGTTTTTCATCAAATGCTACATACAGAGATGGGCTCCAGATGAATTAAAGACCTAACTATAGAATGTAAAACTCTAAAGTTAATAATAGAACAAATTGTAGGAGAAGACCACTGTGACCTAGAGGCAGAGAAAGACTTCATGAAACCTTAAAAGCATAAGCTATAAGGTAAATATAATTTGACTATATTGAAATTAATGATTTAGGTTCCACAAAGGATGCCATGGACAACGTTGACAGACAATAGGGAGAAGATATTTGCAATCTTAACAAGGGATAAATCAATGTAATATACAAGGAAATTTTGCAAATAAGAAGGAAAAACAGCCCAATAGGAAAATGGGCTAATGCATATGAACAATTGACAGAAAAGGAAAAGTGAGCCTATGAAGCAACACTCAAACCCAGTAATCAGGTAAGTGTAAACTAAAAGAACAAGATGCCACTTGACTCCTATTAGATTCTCAAAAATAAGGGCCGGCTGAGTGGCTCAGTTGGGTAAGAGCTCGCTCAAGAGTTTGAGCTCTGAGCAACAGCGGTTCGATGCCCGGCCCAAGCTGAGCTGCCGCTGAGCTGCCAACAGGTGGCAGGATGGCTCAGCTAAAAAAAAAGATTCTCAAAAATATAAAAAGTGAATAGTGCCAGTATAACCAGACGGTGGGGATATAGGCAGCCTGATATAATACTGGTGGCCATGTAGACTGGTTTAGTTATTCTAAAGAACAATCTGGCAGTACTTAATTATATACAGAGGATGCCCAAAAAATGTATATACATTTTAAGAAAGGAAAACTATTAAAATTTTGTCACACAATATATACTGGTAACAAAAGATGACTACAAGTCACATTTGACTTCTGCGATTACAAGAGGTGCTCAAAGTGGTTACTATCAGCATCCAGACACTTCTGATTATGGCGAACTACTGCTTGAGCAATGTTAACCAAAGTGTCCACTTGTATATGTTTTTTTGGCACCCCCGGTGTGTGTGTGTGTGTGTGTGTGTGTGTGTGTGTGTGTGTGCATGTATATACATATATATGTGTATATATATGTATGTGTATATATATATGTATGTGTATATATGTATATGTATATGTGTGTATATCTATATATCTATATCTCAACAGGGTAGCCATATTCACAGTCATATGCATGGATCTTAGAAACAGCTGAGTGATGAAAGAAGCAGTGAGATGTATATAACACTTGCATTACATAAAGTATAAGACAGTAATCATTGTGCAAGAATATATCTAAATAGATACATATTACACACATATATACATGCATAAGAAGCATCCTGTATGGATTGATGATGATAATGTGCTGTGAACCGAGAAGTCTGATTGACCATAGACTTTATATAGACTTCAAGGAACTATTAATACCTCTAGTTCTTTCCTCACTTGATTCTACATTAAGCTTGGTTAAAATTTGCCTGTATTTTCCTCTATTGTTGCTCTAGAGTAAAATATCTTGCCGTGATTCATTTAGGTGAAATCCACATTTTATTGGAGA